TAAAATCGTTTTCAGGCGAGGTAGATCCTTGTAAACGACAACCCTTCCGAGGTCGATGTCCTGCTGTGAGCGGAGGCCAACAAACTCGGTCACAGTTCGTGCTGCGATATTATATGCGAGACAATGAATGTGTTTCATATCCTTTTGGTCAGCAACTTCACTCTTGAAACATTCCATTGATTAATTATGCATTAAAATTTTCATCTCGTTCTCTCAATTTCCAACCATTATTATTGATTGTGAATGATTTTTATTATTGTTGACTCCAATCAAAATTTCAAAGGTAAAAAAGCAAAATCGCACACCCCATTTACGCATCCCATGTATAACGGCGCTTGACCAATTAGAGCACTTCGAACAATTCGAGATCTCTAAATGCCACCACCAATTAATCTGATTAATTTTATGAATTATTGGTGAGATATAAATCAATACAAGAGAATTTAACCATTGTTGAAGAATGTTTTCAAATTTAGGTCATTGTTCAAAAGATACAAATGAGCCGAGATTGTACCGTTACAAAGAGGAATGTGAAGATGCGTGTTTGAATGTTGTGCGATCAAATAACAATGTTCAAAAAACTGAAGACATTGCATCTCCAACTGCATCATCCACTTCTACGCAGCCAACTACGAGTACTTCAGTGACTTCTGATGGTTAATTCATTTGTTTTATGTGTTATGAATATTATTTCATGAATATTATGATCGATTATTTATTGGTATGAATACCAGCGATATTACTGCGATCACTGAAAGATCATCGCCATATTGTAGAGTCACGGAAGTCAGCGCCAAACGATTGCACAAGTGCCGTTGACGCAGGACCATGTGAATCGTCAGTCTCAAGATGGTACTATGATGCGAATGAACAGACATGCAAACCTTTCTCGTATTCAGGTCAGTGGGACTGTTGCATGTGAAAACATCTTTATTCTTGTTCGAATATCAGTTATTATCGTATTTATGACTGTTTTTATTACACCATTATTCTAATGAACAATATCTCACATTCACCAGACGACATTTATTGTTAATATCACACCGTTCTAACAATAAGCAATTTGAAAATAACACACGAAAATGGTCAGAATTTCGACGATTCCAGGTTGTGGTGGGAATGGAAACAATTATTTGACGAAATTTGCGTGTGAGAGACGATGCACACCAGTACTCGACTCGTCAATCAAATGCCCGAACGGTGCCGAACCGTTGAAAAACGTTCACGGCGTACCGACGACTTGTGCGAAGAAGTCGTGTCCGTCTGATCATAAATGCACAAAAGTGGAACAGAATTCGATTTGCTGTCCTGTTCCCGAAGACGAATCCAAAAGTAATTTTCCATTGACATTTTCTCTGACAATGAATAATTTCTCACTTCATTTGCCTATTTCACTACTTATTCGTTGTGTTTTTGATTTATTTTTCCTCATTCCTCCCAAGATTTTTGATTGAGACGATAATCAGTCAACGATCATCAGCTTGATCTTGAGTTGATTAATTCTTGATCGTCAACTTCTTATAAGTCGACGGTCTTCAGACTGCAAAACTTTGAATCAATTGATATTGATGCGGCAATTGCTGATTGCAGACACTGAATTTCTAATGATTTCACTGTAACCTCTTAGCACTTTCAAATGGCAATTCTACACTGACGCTGAAAATGAGAACCACCGTCGTGAGATTGAGTTTATGATTGGACTGTTTGATCAAGCTTTTGATAAAATCGGAATTTTCGAATCGTTTTCCAGAAAGCAGTTCAAAAGCAGACGTATGCGCGCTGCCGAAAGAACGTGGACCGTGCGATCGCTATGAGTTACGTTTCTATTACAATAGCGATATGAAAGAGTGCAAATACTTCTTCTTCGGCGGTTGTGAGGGTAATGCGAATAACTTTGAACGTGTTGAGGACTGCGAAAGTGCTTGTGGCCGAGGTTCGCTTATTTTTCCTTCTGATTTATGCACTTCCAACAGTTCAGGAGTTGGATTCTCCTTTTGATTGGATTTTCCTGATCCATCTGCGATTCAAATGTACACTTTCTTCGATGAACTAGACTCTTGAAGGCCAAATAGGTTATGCAGTATAGTTCAGTTTGATGGCAATAATTTATATTGGTTGCTCAGTTTTATCAGATGCTCATTACAATCAAGTTTTCTATCTCAATCATCACTTTATCGTTGTTGCCAAATCGCAAAAACGAGATTTTCTACCTAATGCTTGGTAGCATAAGCCATACATCGTTAAGCACACATCATCTCGATCGTCTGATTAAGTCAGCATCCGATTGATAAACATCATAGAGCAATCATTATAAAATTGCCTGTTCATATGCTGATATCAGAAAATACTCAGGACGAAAAGCGTTGAGAATAGAATCACCGCAAACCGTTCAAACAAAACCAACAACTGCAGCCCCAACCACTACAGCGATGTCGCAAGAGGCCACAACCGTTGAGCAAATTCCAGAAGCAGAAGAAACAGAAGCAAGTAAAGTGCCGGGCATCGTCGAGCACCCAACATCCGCTTCCACAAAGTCACTAAATTCTTCTTTATCAACTTACTTTTATCATTATCAATTAATAAGGGAGCAATTCATATGAGTAAATATCATCGTGTAAATCGCAATTAAAAATGCGATTTTTTTGAAAATTTTCGCTAAAATTTACACCGATCATTCATCCGAATCAAATTTCCTGAGCAATTTCAAGTCTTTCGGAGTGTGCTGGGTATTTTTGATACAGAAAACATCTTACAAAATTCGACTTTGATTCAACTGAGATTTGACCTTGATCCTTAGACGGAGCATTGATAGTTTCCACATGATACCTAAATTTCATCCTGATTTGCTTTGTAAGAAATTTTATAGTAGCTCAATCGCATAAGTATAACGTATGATGGATTCATAGANTTCCAGAAATTCTCACGTCAGAATTGTGAACCTGCTTTTATTTTATTAGTTTTTCGTGATAGCCTCCAGAAGCGGTCTGCTTGTGTATTTCAAAACCATTTTGATCAACACGTATCAATGCTCCTATCAATTCAGATCAGCCCCATCTACAGCCGCAAAGAATGTGGATAGTGTTCACCTTACGGGTGAACCTGAAACATCAGTTAATATTGATACCACTTCAACTACGGTTACTACCACGCCGGAACAACCAACTACGCAGTCCTCAGCGCCCAGCCGAAAAATCGTCACAGATCCACCCGTTGAGCCTTTGGTGTCCCTTATCAAACCGCAAGATATCAATCAGCCCGATATAATTCCACCATTACCAGGTCGTTGTTCAGCCGAATATCTTTGTCTGTTCTATTTCTTACACTTACTATGAGCAGTTTTCATCTTGCAAATAAGTGAACGCAAATGTGAATGCACTGAATTTCTGGAATGCCTTTTGATAGTAACTGAAGAAATATTGGCTACAATCTGTTCATTATCTAAAAGTGATTCGACGTAACATGCGATATTAATTGATGATACAAGTCTGCAGAAACATTATTATTGATGATTAGAATGACAACGAGTCATGGGGATGATCAATAGATTTAGAGATGACAATAATGATTAAGATAGTAATTATGATTTTAACGACAATAGTAGTAGTAATAGTGATAAGATGATATTAATAACATGGTAATAGTAATAGTAATAATAATAATAATAATAATACTAGCAATAATAATAATAATAATAGCAATAATAATAATTATAACAATCCAGATAAATTTCCAGCAAATCGTTGTCTTCACATGCGTGATCCAGGGGATTGTGATGGGCATTTCCCAAGATGGTTCTGGAATGAAGAGACAAAAACATGCGATGTTTTCACATATAGCGGATGTAGTGGCAACGGCAACAACTTCGCTAACCGAGAAGAATGCCTGAGCATTTGCAATCGTCAAGGTATTTCTCACTGCTACTTCCATTAATTGTGTTAATGATGAACATAGATTAGCGCATTGAACAAATATCCCATCAATATATCCTAGTAAGAAAGTAGTGATCAGATCTGCTTCATTATTAATTTTTTGGTTATTGATTGTCTTGCTGTTGACGGTAAGACGATAACGATCTACTGGCTGCCAGTCTTAAATAACTGAAAATTAGAGCTGTGATAATGAATTTTAGTTAGTAACCATTAAGAAAAATTTCTGATGTTGATCGTATGATGATATGAATTGTAAGAGTGATAATGATTGTAATCGATCAACGATGAATCAATAAACAGTTGAGCATTTTTCAGTGAACACGAAAACTAGCCAACCAAGTGCGGCTTCGCTGTGTGCTCATAAAATAAATCCTGGTGATTGCAAAGGAGAATTCGAAAGATTCGCTTTTGATACGGAAACTGGTAAATGTCGGCCATTTATTTACGGTGGTTGTGGCGGTAACGGTAATAATTTTGCATCGCTCGAAGAATGCGCACAACGATGCCATCCACAAGGTTGTTGCTTTTCGTCAAATTTGCTAACTTTCATCCTTTCAAGGACGTACAATATTTGCTTGTTTGATATGTCTTCGATTGTCAGTTATCATTTTTGTGCAATACTTCATTGAGACCATCTACATGTTCAGACCGTTAGTCACAATAGTTAGCAGATTACCTAATTATCAATCCCGCAAGATACCATTAATATAGGCTGAAGTAACAAGCAATAATAAAGAAGACAGTTATTTCAGTTCCGGAGCCAGCTATATTGATGAATG